ATTTATGTAATAGAAATTATGTTAACAGTTTCTTAATGATGCAGGCCGTTGCCTAGGAAGGATCTTCAAGTATTGGTTGGCCATGGGTGCCCCAGCATGGATCCAAAAGTTGTGTTTTCTGCAAAGCTGATAAGGAAACTGGTCCACCTTGACGAGGGTGATGTAAGTTGCAGCTAAACTCAAGTTTATTCTCCGCAGCCCACATGTTTTCGTTTCACTACGTTATGTTCTAGATGGGGGTTGAAAAACAGAAAAACAAAATGGGTGAGATCACTTCCTTTCTTGATTGTATGTAGTCACTATTTGAGTGATCTGTAGATATTTGTAAGGTTATAAAAGGTATATTTGTGCTCACCTAGGCGTGCATAGGTTCTTTGAGGCATCGGAATGCTGCATCTTGGTATTAAGGGAAGGTTTAGGCCGCAGGTAAGGAATTGACCTATTGGATGACAAGTCGTGGTCTCTCTGGCGAGGGATCAACCTTCTCTGGTTTAAAAAATCACCCTCTCCGATGAGTATTCACGCTTCTCTGAAGGAAAATCACCCTCTTCTACAATGAATCGAGCTCTGCCAAGCCCATCGCTGTTACTACAGGGAAGGAGAGAAATAGAATAGAAACCGCAGTTTCTGGCGTTCTTTCCCAGATCTGCTTTAATAAGCATATAGGTGCCTTTCTAGTGGTTTAATGTGCTGGGTTAGCCCATAGTGCCCAATTTTCTGTTTCCCTCTTTTTTTTTACTGTTGCTCTCCCTAGGTGGCGGCAAAACACTCCCCTAGCGCCTTTTTGAACATTGGATACGTGTACTTTCTCACTTTGAACAATGGCATATGCACAGTAGTCATGACACTTTGGGTACATCAATTTATTGATTTGCAAATTATTTACTTACCTGACCACAATGTGCGTTCTGGCTTACTATCTATTTCCAACTCCTTATTTGCGACTATGTTTATGTAAATGGTTGCTGCTATTGTTATGATAGTTTATTGCCTTTCTTGATTTTATTAAAGATTAACACAACATTCAATGGCGTGATAGGTCTGCGTTTTATAGCAATAGGAGTAAATAGCCGCAATTGTATATGTATTTAGATTTTTTCCACTTATGTTCACATATTAGAAACATGCCACTTAATTTTCTTGTTAATATGTATTTGCATAACAGAGGTGACTGTTACATACCCACAACTAGTTACCAAAACATCTCTCAACAGTTTGGTTCGGCATTCAGTTCCTCGTTTTTTATGGACTCCTACTGACTGCTATATAAACATGAAAGATGAAAATACACTAGAAAGACCAGGCAAGGTGTAATCTTCTCATTTCTTTATTTTGCTCCTGATTTGCAGGTGTGCAGTTCATGTAATTTGCGAAATTCATGCTCAAGAGGCTATATCCTTACACGTAAAGAAGATGAAGCTCGGACTCTTGATGTTATGCGTATTTTATTGGTCTATGGTTTTGATCATATAAAGGGGACTGTGGAGAACAAACCACTTCTCAAACAGAAATCCGTGAAGACCGTCGTTCGGAAATTAATACACGAGATTGCCAAGCTGAGTGCTGTTCCTATTGACCCCAATCTTCCACCCCCTGTAATCAGGAAGTTGCCACCTAAGGTGAAGCAACCGCCTCCACCACCAAAGAGACGAGTTGGACGTGATGACGTAGAGATGAAGAAAGGAGACTGGCTCTGCCCAAAGTAGTTTAACCTGTCTCACCTGTAATTTATAGAATGTTGACTTCAGGAGCGATTCTTATTTTCTGAAGTATGTGGTTGCAGGTGTGACTTCATGAACTTTGCAAAAAATACAATTTGCTTGCAGTGTGATGCTAAGCGTCCCAAAAGGCAACTTCTACCTGGAGAGTGGGAGTGTCCTCGGTTAGCTCACTTACCACAGATTTATTTGGTCTATTTTTTGAACTTATACACAGCAGTTTCCTAGTATGCCTCATATTGATCACATCCATGTTTGTTATCTGTCTAGGAACACGCCTGTGAATAAGAATAGCCTGGTATCTGATTGTCTTTCTTCATTATTTATGTCGAATACGTTTCTCTGTGCTGTCATTTGTTTCTCAAGAGGCAATTAGTTAATAGTTATACAAACAAGGAATGATAAAGGAAACAGTGCACATTTGAACCATTCATGAACATAATTGTGATAATTTGTCATCCTTACACATTTTTCTATCAATATCTAGGTGCAATTTTTTGAACTACAGACGGAACATGTCATGTTTCCATTGTGAACATAACCGTCCTCCAGATGAATACACCAACAGCCAAATGGAAGAATATCAATCTGCACCGCGGAAACGGTTGGAAAGACCAGCTCGCAAGCCTGACGTCTCTAATGCGTGGAACTTTGACTTCGATGATAATGAATCGGATGGTGCTGATGTTGCAGCATTTGAGTTTGCTGATTCATCCAAAATCAGGGAGAGCTCATCTGTGGACAACTCATATAGAGATAATACAAAGGGTTCTGAGGCCGAGAAATTCTTTGGAATGGATGAACCAAGGAGCGAGGGAAGAGAGAGAAAGTTCAGTGGAAGAGACAACTTGAACTCATCTAGAGTTGGTTTTGATGATTTTGATGACGAAGAGGACGATATTGACAGTTATGAGCTTGATTTGTCAAAAGGTGGTCAGACAGGTGGTGTGTCGAGGGTGAGTTATTCTGACCTTGAGAATGCTTCTTCTGATTCAGAAGACTTGAACGAATTTGCTCACAGTAGAAATTCCAATTACGGGGCAAAGGATGAAGCAACAGGTTCAGCTGATGATGATGAATTTGATGATCAACCCTCCCTAAGATCTAGTCATATTGCGGATTCTTGGCAGAAAACCAGAGGTTGGAGCGGTTCGAACAACCGCAGAAACGCATCTTTTGGCTCAGAGAGTAATGATGGGGTTATTTCTGATTTTGATGAGGATGTTGACAACGGTTTTAGATCTAAACAAAGGCGTAAACAGGGAGGCCGTGAAACAGTTCCTGATATGGACTCTGACATGGATGATGAGTTACAATCAGATGATAGGAGGAACAGGTCCTCCACAAATTTCAGAGGAAACTTCCCTGCCAGAAGCTCTAACTTAAATAGCAGAAGCGCTAGTGGGGACCGTTATGGTAGGACAAGAGGCAACAAACAGTTCAGGAGTGTTGATGTGCATGATGGTGGGTCGCCCTTTGATAGGAATCGCAGAGGAAGGGGTAATCAGCAAGATCATGGCTCAAGAGGTTCACAAAGAAATGCAGGAAGAAATTGGGATAATAGTAGTGAGTTTGATCGCAGAGGGAGGGGTAATCAGCAAGATCATGGCTCAAGAGGTTCGCAAAGAAATGAAAGGAGAAGCTGGGATAGAAGTAGTGAGTTTGATGGCAGTGACAGGCCCCTCAGGCGTTCTAATAGAAGGTAAGAATATGGCAATGCAAGTGGCAGCATAAGCATCGAAAGTGTGGACAGTGTGCCCAAAATTCTTGGATTCAGAACTGGATTGATGGCACTGGATCCTGAGACCCTGTCGATAAGGGATGTTTTAGGAAGTGTTAATATTTCCAAGATTTTTTCCAAGGCTCCAAGCTAGCCAACAGGTGGAGTGTTACATCATGGAATTTGGTATGTTGAGATTTTGTGAAAGAACTTTTTCCTTTTTTCTTCACCATTTGCTGCCTCATAATCTTCTCAAGGAAGGGCCTAGAATGCAGCGAGAGAACATGCCTCCATGCATGTATGTTTAATATTTGTTGTATCAGTTTCTTCATCTTAAACATTATATATTCAAAGATAAGTTAGTAATGGAGTTCAATTGTCATCTGTGCAATGTGAAAAGTGAACTCATATATTTTCAGTAATGAATTTTCGGAAAATTTGTTCTGAAACTATTGATCTCTTGCATAATAGGCTCCCTTTTGTTCTCTAGATTAGGTTTGGTAGTCATTGGCTAGATCATAACTTCATATCACTAATTTTGTTGTCACTCATTTGCTCAGCGCAGTTTGAATCTTGTTCCGTTCTTCAATACGCCTGCTGATCCAATTTGTAATTTGTATGTATCCTTGATGTATCAATCAGTTCTTGCATGTATTTTTTGACTGGGAGTTCTTTCATACATGTAAACATCTATACCACTATATAGTGTATGAATAGCTTTGTATATATATCATTGGATGAAATTGATCCAATGGTCAGGATGTGGCAAATCCGACTGTTGCTGGCTGTTTGATTTACCATTCGTTACATCAAGTCTTGTATCTGAAAGTTTTCATGATTAAACTTAGTGCGCCTATTCTAATGGAGAATATAATTATCATCTGTACTACATTCACACATGTACTCTATGCTAGACTCTTCCATACATGCTCTTGATCCAATTATTTTTATCTCTTGAGGAAAGAGTTGCAATTTATATTTACCTTATGAATTTAGATATTTTTTCAAGAGGCAGCTAGAATTTCGGATTTTGTGTGTGTTTTAGCAGTAGTTCTGTGTAAGCAAGCCTCATGGCCTAAACATTACCCTGTAAATGTAAAGTGTTCCTTTAGCACATCAAAGCATAGCGCCACCCCATCCCCCCTTCAGGCTCAGCAACTAGATTGGAGTAACCTATCTTCAATAATTGTCACTTCTTCTCATGAGAATATGCAAATTTCCCTTGCACTTTGATTAGCCTTCTAAGAAAGCTAAATGTTGCACATAAACCCTGGCCAAAAAGCCAGTAATTTCATAGTCATTTATCTACTTTTTCAGCAAATATTTGGTCTGCATGTTAGAAAATAACCGCATGCATTTAGCCTGGAATTTTATTTTCAGGAGTTTGTGGCTGCAATACTTGCACACTCCACAAGCTTCATGTCGACACAAAAAGGATAACGTAAACTAGCATGTGAAAGATAATGAAACAGAAAATCACCTACACCATTTGCACCCGGATCTCATGATAGATTATACTCCATTAACTGGAATATCGTTATTCCTCTACGTCTTCAGTTTTTCTAGGATTCTAGAAGTGATGTTTCTTCGGAGACAGCATGCTGCAGGCTTCTTTCCCTTGATTTATGTTGAAATCGGAGAAGAGCGTACAACACATCCTTCATTGATGGCCGTACTGAAGACTGCCCACCTGTACAGATCACACCTAGCGCAGACACTGCAAATGCATCTTCAATGTTGGCTGGATCTCGAATGTCTTCATCAAGAAGATCAATTGACAGGCCATATTCTTGATACTGTCTCCATGCCCATTCTGCCAAGCAATACTCCAAGCCTCCATCATTTGCCACTCTCCCTGTTGTGAGCTCCAACAGGACCACTCCGAAGCTGTAGACGTTGACCTTCTCATTCACCTTAAGCCGGTATCCGTACTCTGCAAAAAAGCTAGGCTCTGATTAGCACATGGTACATCCTAAATATATACCAGTTTGAGTTTGTATTTCTTTTTCTTACCTGGTGCCATGTAGCCAAAGGTACCACCTATGGCAGAAATTGACCCAGGGTCTCTGGTTTTGAGAAGAATCCGAGCAAGCCCGAAGTCGGCTATCTTTGCTCTGAACTCGGGGTCAAGAAGGATATTAGCAGACTTGACATCACAGTGCACTATTGCGGGTGAACTATCATGGTGCATATAGCAAAGACCTCTTGCTGAGTCAATGTCAATTTGCAATCTGGTGGGCCAATCCAAAGGCACCAGTGAACCAACTCTCTCTCTCTCTCTCTGATGCAGCCACCTGTCTAAGCTACCGTTTTCCATGTACTTGTAGACAAGAAGCTTAGCCTCTGAGCTTGAGATGCAGCAAAGCAACTTGGCAATGTTTGTGTGCTGGATCTCACCCAATATCTGGACCTCTGCAAGGAAGTCCTTCTCAAGCTTGTTGTCAAGGTTCTGCGCGTTCCATATCTTTTTAACAGCCACCATTCTACTACCACCTTCTTCATCCACAACACAAATTCGGCACACCTTGCCAGACCTGCCACTTCCAATCCAGTGAGCAGAGCCCAGAAAGAACATCATACTCTGTGAAATGCAGTGCATGGAACTGGGTTAGCTTCCATGATAGAGGATCTTGGCTATTCTTTTTCCTCTTTAATAGCAAGAAACCACCAACTGCCAAACCCACAAGCATGATACTTGCAAGAACAAAAAAGAGGGCTATAAGCCTCCTGGAGATATCATTGTTGGTGTTTGCTATTGCCCCGCAAATCGGAAAATTCGGGATGGAATTATTCAATGAGACACAAAGGCCTGGATTGAAGAGGAAGCTTTGCTCATATGCTTCGTTTTGCAATGATGTTCGAATTTCCCCTGTGAGGTGATTCATGGAGAGGTTTAAAAAGTTCAAATTCAACTTATTGATATCTTTTGGGATCTCGCTAGATAGCGCATTCGAGGAGAGGTCAAGGATGGTTAGCTCTGATATAAACCCAAATGCTGCAGGTATAGTACCCGATATCTGATTTCCACTTAGATTAAGTGCTTTGAGCTTTAGCACTCCAATTGCCATGGATACTGATCCATTAATTTGATTTACAGAAAGGTCAAGCTCTTCTACCTATGAAATTGAAAGTGCAACTAATCCCCGGGTGATTTTGATAATTTATAACAACATATAGCTCATTGAACTAATATCCATTCAAGTTAAATATTTCAGGGAGTTCAATGATTGGCATGGCATGGACTAAAGATGTGGACCCATCAAAATGCTAGGGACAAAGATTGGCAAAAGCTCAAAACTCTTCATTTCTATCTTAGTGATCCAAGATCACATTGAGTCCATAGGAAAAGCCAATACTATTAAAAGGGGATGAGGTGTTGCTTAATGATCTACTTGCTCAAAATGCTTAGTGATATGCTCCAAAGCCCTCAACGACTTTCTCATTTCCAAATATGTCCAAAACCTAAAGTCAAACTCAGCCCCACCGATTTGATCTATCCAGCGCCACCGAGTTCCTTTGACATAGCCATTGCCAAAAACCCTAATCAATTCGGTCTCACCGATCAGGATTTCGATCTCACCGAGATGGCAATGCAAACTCTCTATTTCCCTTCGTAACGTTTCGGTCTCATCGAAATGAGCGATCGGTCCCACCGAGTTCGCAATGCAAACTATCTGTTTCCCTTCGTAACGTTTCGGTCTTACCGAAATGAGCGATTGGTCCCACCGAGTTTGCCTGACCAACTCTCTGTTTTCTCATTGCTGAAATCGGTCTCACCGAGTTCATGCAATCGGTCACACCGAGATGAGGTTTTTCCCTAACCCTAGCACATCGGTCCCACCGAGTTGACCATATCGGTCCCATCGAGAATCCTAACCATTTTGAACTGAATCGGTCTCACCGAGTTCTTCTATTCAGTCTGACTGAGTTGGGAAAAATGTGTGTAACGGTTGGATTTTTTGTGGAGGCTATATATACCACTCCACCCCTTCTCTATTCAAGAGAGAGCCATCAGAACATGCCTACACTTTCACTACTCATTTTCTGAGAGAGAACCACCTACTCATGTGTTGAGACCAAGACACTCCAATCCAACCACAAGAATCTTGATCTCTAGCCTTCCCCAAGTTGCTTTCCACTCAAATCATCTTTCCACCATAGCCAAATCTCTGAGAGAGAGTTGAGTGTTGGGGAGACTATCATTTGAAGCACAAGAGCAAGGAGTTCATCATCATCACACCGTCTATTACCTTTTGGAGAGTGGTGTCTCCTAGATTGGTTAGGTGTCACTTGGGAGCCTCCGACAAGACTGTGGAGTTGAACCAAGGAGTTTGTAAGGGCAAGGAGATCGCCTACTTCGTGAAGATCTACCCAAGTGAGGCAAGTCCTTCATGGGCGATGGCCATGGTGGGATAGACAAGGTTGCTTCTTCGGAGACCCTTCGTGGGTGGAGCCCTCCGTGGACTCGCGCAGCCATTACCCTTCATGGGTTGAACTCTCCATCAACGTGGACGTACGATAGCACCACATATCGGAACCACGCCAAAAATCTTCGTGTCTACATTGTGTTTGCCTTCTCCAAACCCTTCCCTTTACCTTCATATACAATGTTCTACTTTCCGCTGCTACACTCTTAGAATTGCATGTGTAGGTTGATTGCTTGACTTGTGCTAAGTTACTAAAATCTGCCAAGACATAAAATTGGGAAAAGGCTAGATTTTTATTTGGTCAAGTAGTCTAATCACCCCCCTCTAGACCTACTTTCGATTCTACAGAAATGCCCGTCAAATCCTAGGGAATTTGGCCAGAAAGCAAGTTATTTACTTCCCTGAATACTTCCATTTTGCATGCTAAAGTTGGAATGGGACCAGAGAATCTGTTGTTGCTCATCTCAAGACATGAAAAGTTCCATGGTAGCTGGGTAGGAAAGGTCCTAGAGAAATTGTTGTTTTGGATCATAACTGTCATTAGCTGATTTGTCACTACTGACCAGATGCTCTTGGTGAACTCTCCAGTAAAATGATTGTTGTACAACATTAAATTGTTCAACAGACAGTAACCGTCTAGCGATTCTGGAAGCTTTCTAGAAAAGTTATTATTGAGCACAACGATGTCATTTAATTTCCCGTTGAAGCAAAGATCAGCTGGCAGCTCGCCAGAAAGGTTATTGTCACAGACTTCAAGATTGACTAGCGGTGAGTGCCTTCCGAGCTCTGGTGGAAGAGAACCAGTTAACATGTTCTCAAATAGCCGGATGTCTCTGAGATTCGGCAGCAACCCAATACTTGGCGGTATTGACCCATGAAGTTGATTAATGTATAGAAACAACAGGGTAAGGTTGATCAGCTTACCAAAGTCATCTGGTATTGACCATGTTAGATTGTTTGAGGACACATCAAGCTCCACCGAGTTTACGGCTGTGACACTGGATGAAATCTCGCTTGTCAAACCATTGTTAAACATGTACAAGTACCGAAGCTTCTTATGCCGCCATACCCATGTCAGAATTGGGCCTTGCAGCATATTAGTTGTCACGACCAAGAGGCTGAGCTCTATGAGGCTTGATATGCTCTCAGGTATCTCACTTGTCATGTTCATACCCGACAGCCACAAGTATGTGAGGTGTGTCAACTTGCCAAACTCAACTAGAAATGGAGCTGGCAGAAATGGGTTGTCCTCCAGAGTCAGCATCTCGAGGTTGGCTAGATTGCTTATGTCCTGTACTGGATAGCTTCCATCAAACTGATTGGTGTCGAGGATCAGTGACTTGATCTTTGGAAACCATCCAATGGATGGTGGGATTTCACCCGTTATGCGATTGCTTGATACGTTGAGACGCTCTAGCTTTGCTTATAAGATGACGCTGATAAGCTGTTTATGTCAGCTGCGAGTTTCCCACCAAAGGCATTGTTGGAAAGGTCCAGGTACTTTAGATTGGAACAATTGTAGAGTATTGTAGGGAATGAAGTGGAGGCGTTGTTGTAGGAGAGGTCCAAGTAGGCAAGATTCTTGAGGAGGCAAAGGGACGGTGGGATTGGTTTCATAAGGGTTTGCTGTGGAAGGAGATGGCAGTGACCTCACCTTTTGTGCATGTAAGTCCTCCCAATCTGCAGTGGTCAGAGGAAATGGAGTTCCATCTGCCAAGCACAAGTGAGCTCCCCCAGTATCTCTTGAGTCCTAGAAGGATTTGGTGTTCATCACTATACTGATTTTTGGACTCTGGGTAAAATTTGGGTAGTAGAGAAATCAGTGCAGTGAAGAACAGCAGGAAGCTAACACAGTAATTGTCATCCATGTCTACAGAAGCTTTTGGGTTGAAAAATCTCTTGCCAGCTTTGGGTGGAGAGGGGGGCTGAGGGAGTCCTGGATTAGGGGGTCTCCGGACAGCCGAACTATATCCTTTGGCCGGACTGTTAGACTATGAAGATACGAGATTGAAGACTTCGTCCCGTGTCCAGATGGGACTCTACTTGGCATGGAAGGCAAGCTAGGAAATACGAATATGTATATCTCCTCCTTTGTAACCAACCTTGGGTAACCCTAGCCCCCTCCCGTGCCTATATAAATCGGAGGGTTTTAGTCCGTAGGACAACACACAATCATACCATAGGCTAGCTTCTAGGGTTTAGCCTCTCTGATCTCGTGGTAGATCAACTCTTGTAGTACTCATATCATCAAGAACAATCAAGCAGGACGTAGGGTTTTACCTCCATCAAGAGGGCCCGAACCTGGGTAAACATCGTGTCCCTTGCCTCCTGTTACCATCCGCCTTAGACGCACAGTTCGGGACCCCCTACCCGAGATCCGCTGGTTTTGACACCGACATTGGTGCTTTCATTGAGAGTTCCACTGTGTCACCACCATAAGGCTTGATGGCTCCTTCGATCATCGCTAGCGATGCGGTCCAGGGTGAGGCTTTCCTCCCCGGACAGATCTTATTCGGCGGCTTTGCACTGCGGGCCAATTCGCTTGGCCTTCTGGAGCAGATTGAGAGCTACGCCCCTGGCCATCAGGTCAGATTCGGAAACTTGAACTACACGGCCTTCATCCACGGAGACTTGATCTTCGACGGATTCGGGGCCATGTCGGATGCGTCGTACAGTCGTAACGAGCATGACGTAACTCTGCTGTCGGACAATGTTTGGGAGATCGCATCCGCAACTACTCTGTCCATCAATCCGGAGCAAGTCGCGCCATCCGAGAGCAGAGGGATGGACCCCTCCATGGAGGCCGCACTCTCAGTGGCGTTAGAGCCAGATACCGACTTCACCCCTTACGAGAGCCGTGTCGCCGAACCATTGGATTCATCTCCGGCCACGGACTCCGAGTCGCTCATATCTGTGCCCATCGAATCCGACTGGGCGCCAATCATGGAGTTCACCTCCGCGGATATCTTTCAGCACTCACCTTTTGGAGATGTGCTAAATTCATTAAGGTCTCTCTCCCTGTCAGGAGAACCTTGGCCGAACTATGTCCGGCTAGAATGGGATGCAGACGAAGAAGAAATTCTCTGCCCACCCACCACCCACTTAGTAGCCACTGTCGACGACTTAACCGACATGCTCGACTTTGGCTCCGAAGACTCCGACGGTATGGACGACGAAGCTGGAGACGAACAGGATCCATCGCCCTCGGGGCACTGGACCGCCACCTCATCATATGATATATACATGGTGGACACCCTCAAAGAAGCCAATGGCGACGAGACAGCGGAGGATGACCCCTCTAAGAAGCAACCCAAGCGCCAACGTCAGCGGCGCCGCTCTAAGTCCCGCCAGAGCAAAAACATCGATAATAATAGTCCACGTGACTCTGGAAGAAACGACAACTGCACCACCCCGGTGGCAGAACACGATCAAGATGCAAACTGCACACATAGTACAAATCCGACGTCCGAACACGATGACGCCAAAGATAAGCCTCATCAATCCCCGTCTAGGGAAGAAAACAGTCCGGACGAAGATGCACACATCATCCCAGAAATGCACTTGGAGCAAGAAAACTTCCGCAGAAGGCTTATTGCCACAGCGAGGAGCCTGAAGAAACAGAAGCAAAGGCTCAAGGTCGCACAAGATACGCTCAACAGCAAGTGGAACAAAGTAACGGAGTATGGTGAAAGTTACCATCAAAATAGCTATCCAAAGCGCAAGCTATTACCGGAATTCGACGATGAGGCCTTAGAGCCCATACAGCCGAAAGGTGATACGGCCAACCGGCCGGATACACCACCCTGTGAACGCGATAGAGTGGCTAACAAAGTCACGCATAAGTCAACACACGATTCACGCGAGAACTTGCGTCAAAAATCCGGCGCGACCAGATCTATCTATGGATCTAGGAAGCGTGTTATGGTACACAACCAACACCGAATACTACAACCGTCCGAACACCTTGGGGCATCCCAATACAGGGGTGCCACACACCCCTTATGTTTCACTGATGAGGTGTTGGATCACGAATTCCCAGAGGGATTCAAACCGATGAACATAGAGGCGTACGACGGAACCACAGACCCTGGAGTCTGGATAGAGGACTTCATCCTCATATTCATATGGCTCGTGGAGACGATCTCCATGCCATTAAATACTTGCTCCTCAAGCATAAAGGGCCAGCTAGGCACTGGCTGAAAAGCCTCCCCGAAAACTCAATTGGAAGTTGGGAGGAGCTCGAAGACACTTTCCGGGCCAATTTTCAAGGGACTTATGTTCGACCTCCAGATGCAGATGATTTAAGTCATATAATCCAATAGTCCGGAGAGTCCCCCCGAAAGCTTTGGAACAGGCTCCTCACCAAGAAGAACCAAATCATCGACTGTCCCGACGCTGAAGCCTTAGCATCTTTTAAACACAGCGTCCGAGACGAATGGCTCGCCAGACACCTCGGTCAAGAAAAACTGAGAACAATGGCAGCCCTAACAAGCCTCATGACCCGCTTTTGTGCGGGCGAGGACAGCTGGTTGGCCCATAGCAGCACCAGCGACCCAAGCACATCCGAAGTTAGGGATGGCAATGGTAAACCACGACGCAACAAAAACAAGCGTCGAAATAAAGAAGGTAGCCCAGATAACACGGCGGTAAACGCCGGATTCAGGGGCTCCCAACCAGGTCAGCGAAAAAAGCCTTTCAAAGGCAGCAGAGAAGGACAATCTGGCCTAAACAAAATTCTTGACAAACTCTGTCAGCTTCACGGCACCCCAGACAAACCTGCAAATCATACCCACAGAGAATGCTGGGTCTTCAAGCAGGCCGGTAAGCTAAACACTGAACACAAAGGGGAAGAGACACCAAGCGAAGACGAGGATGAACCTCGCCAACAAAACGCCGGAGGACAGAAAAAGTTCCCACTAGAGGTTAAAACAGTAAACGTGATCCATGCGACAAAGGGGAGAAGCAATCACGCACCTCCATGCACATGCGCCATAAAGCCCGTCACCCCTAGGTTCAACCCCTGGTTGGCCTGCCCGATCACTTTTGATCGTAGGGATCACAATACAAATATCTGGTGTGAAGGACTGACGACCTTGGTGTTAGACCCAATAATAAACGGGTACCATTTCACAAGGGTCCTAATGGACGGCGGCAGTGATCTAAATCTGATATATCAGGACACAATCCGCAAAATGGGGATAGACCTGACACAAATAAGACACATCAATACTACCTTCAAGGGAGTAATACCAGGCCAAGAGGCCCACTGTATGGGCTCTCTACCACTAGAGGTGGTATTCGGTTCTCCCGATAACTTCTGAAGCGAAATGTTAACTTTTCACATCGCTTCATTCCGAAGTGATTATCAAGCACTGCTCGGAAGAGTGGCTTTCGCTCGTTTTAACACAATACCGCATTATGCTTTTCTCAAGCTCAAGATGCCCGGTCCACGTGGCATCATCACAGTTAGCGGAAATACCGAACGCTTTTTACATAAGGAAGAGGATGCGGCGGCTCTAACAGCCGCGAACTAGACAGCCTCACCAACCAAAAAAGGCAGGTCGTCAAGACCACGGACACGGTTAGACGAATCCGGCGTTCCATCATATACACATGAGATTGGTTTTTGAACCCTCATAGACGATACCAGGGGCTTCCCGCGTGTAAACAGGGCCAACCTGGCTCAACTTGGTTTCTCTTGAATTTCGATAGCTCATTGATAATAACCAACTCTTCTTCTTTTTTCGGCACGACAACTTTCACCTGAGTTCTTTCCTTTTGCAGATGACAATCGTGCTACACCCATCCAGGACACGGCACAACGGAGACACAGGCGCAGACGTGCAGCAGGGACCCGCCCAAAGGTTTCTTTTTAGATTAAGACCCTGCGTAAACCTTTTTTACTGTCTCTTGTTGCTCACATCCTCCGGATACTCCACACAACCGAGAAGGATGCCGGCGTTATTGGCATGTGGCCACGCCAGGATTTTGTACGTACCTGGACACATGGGGTTTCTTATTAAGGGCATTGTTTAGCCCGGTATATGTTATAAAGACCGAACACCTTAGGGAGTATTCGGCGTCGCGAGTTTGGCCCTATATGCATCAGCTCCAAATCATGTCTTTGATCAAATGTTGGGTTTGCCCGGCTCCCACGTTTTGGTACCTTACGTTCCGTTATATCAGCTAAGGTAGCACTGGGAGAACTACTGCGATTGTGCCCTGGTTCATCCGGATGAGCACCTCAGTAGAGAAAGCCGAAAA